CAGCCACAGCGTCAAGTATTCGTCACGACGGGTAATCATCTTTATTACATAATAAATATGATAAACTATTACATCAAAATGGTGCCATTAAATTTTGATTGTGCCGTAAATTTGCACCAAACACGATACAATCAGCTAGCCGAGTATTCCAAGATTAAGTGGACTTCTCCTTTGCTTCTTAGCCCGAGTAAAGCTGGCAATTTGACCCATTCATCTACATAACCCTTCTTATATACTTGTTTCAAATCAACTTTAGCCTCACCGAGCTATTAATAATTAAAGTTGTATGAATTGTGAGAGCTGTCTTGCTGTTTTACTCTACAATCAAACGTCTCTAACTTATATATATACCTTGTCATCTTCGCCAAAATCTTCGTCGAGAACTTTAATATAGAGATGATGCTCATGGGTATCGGTATTGAATTTGAAGTCTTCATTCCAGATGGGGTTTAATGTATTCTTCTTCGTGGACGTTCTTTGTTTATAGTCCTTCGAAATCCAAAGCTCGACATACGGATCGCCTTATATAACAAAGACGTTTCAGTAGGTGCGGGACATTTTATTCAATGAACAACAAATAATCCTTACTTTTGCCTATTTTTTTTTAAAACAAAGGAAACATTAAAGTATTAGCAAATATTAGAATTAAGGTAATTGAAAGGCAATACGATTGACAATCAAGCTATTAGAACTTACCAATCAAGTCCTCATCTTTCAAGTTCTTTGCCTCAACTTTTTTGAAACCCGAATCGATGGTTAGATTAATTTGCATAACTCATATTGCCGACGCGTAACATCATTTCGCCTCGCATTCTAATACTTACCAACGATAACTTTAAGTTCGCCCTTTGTCATGTTTACTGTAAATTGGTCAAATCGAAATCCAATCTCTCTCGCCTCTCGACCATAACTTATTTATATGCTAAGGGCATGAGAAAATTAGATTATCAACATTGCATCATCGACTTCGATGCGGAAACTCGTCACACAGTATACTAGGCAACTTGTGTAATTGATTCACGAGGCGTTAGATAAACTTGGATTAGCCCCTCTCAATTGCAAATAATTGGAATTAGAAGTTTAATCCTGTTACACCAGTTACGCAAATGACGATAATAAAGTTCTTAAAATGTAAACGCCAATTACACGGTCACATATTGTGAAAAACTCGGGAGCATAACAGCCGAGGGAAATAATATTACTCTTATAAGTAATGATTTGAAATAATTTGACGCCAAGAAAAGTCGCATGAAACTCTTCTATTGGTCTACAAACGATCATGAACCTGATTGCAATTTCCTTTTTGTCGGTATGCAGGAAATTGCACAGCCACAAGTGTCCGACAAGCATGTTCACGTGAACGTTGAATGAACTTCCATTAACACAGTATGTAACGCACAATCCGCTATCATCAACCATAGTCCATCACAGTTTTCCAAAGATTATTCTCAAATCCCCTATAGTCATTGCAAGTGTTCACTTTTGTCCAACAAGCGCTGTTCTTTTTCTCTTTGTTTCACAATATTTCATATAAGCCACATTTCGGCTATGATAATCGGGCTTATCTTTATTCTCATGACTTGATTGGGGGACGATGTTGGTTGGGGGGGGGAGTAGGTCGGTTTACAATATATATATTTATAGTAGCTGAACTTTTGCTTTTTCATCCAGACGGATAAACGACAATGGGCCAAATTGAAGTTTACGTTGGTTAGTAGAAATATACTTCTTGTTTAATAGGATGAACGAATTGATTACTGCGAGATAGTAACTAGAATTGAATTCTTTGTGCGCTAACTTTTTAGTTGAAGGAAAAAACATCAAAGACACCGATATTGCTGGTAAATTTGCGGTTCCTCAGTAAGGGGTGGGGTCTCTCATTTCATAAGTTTTGCTCCTAAATTTATGTTATTTTCCTATCTTACAAATTCGACAATACCAATTGACAGGCCAAGGTAAGCAATTGGCGGACACAGCCGAAAATGTGCTAGATAAAAGTACGAATTTCGTTTCCATCCTTTCAAATTCACTGACGTTGCCTTTACTTAGCTGACCCGTATGTGGAACTCTGGTTCCAAGAAAATAA